TTTTTAGTAGAGATGGGGTCTCGCTCTTGCTCAGGCTGGTCTCAAACTCCTGACCTTGAGTGATCCACCCGCCTCGGCCTCCCAGAGTGCTAGGATTACAGGCGTGAGCCACCGCGCTGGGCCAAAAACATTTAAATCTTTAACTTCTAATTCAGTGGGCATAATTTCCCATGTGTTAGTTCATCAATTCATAATGTGGTAAAGATACTTTATGAAGACAATGTGATAATAAGTAATCAATTAACTATGCTATTTTTTTCGCTGCAAAGGCATTCAAAACAGGTGATTATTTCCATAGGTAATGTAGTTTGATAAAAACAGCTCTGCCTGTTCACTCCTCTAATGCCCTTTATCTTCAAAGGAGAACATTTTATTAATAGCTTATATTATCCCCCTCTACCATGTACTCTCCAAGAAACATAGGAGTAAACAGAAACGTGATGAATCATAAATTCTCCATTTTATAGTTGTTATTGTCTAATTTTTTCTAGACCTGAATATCAAAAGTGCTATACGAATTGATTATCAAAACGATTTGGGTTTTAAATCTTCTCGGAGATCACTAAAACGTGGATTTAGGAAGAAAGAGAAAAATCAGCTATAAATAGTTCACAAATTGGGTAATTAACTTTGAGAACAATTAATGTAAACATATTGATAATAGTATTATAGAACTTCATAATCAGCAATATCTCTCATAAATAATATGATTCACTTACTTTAAGCTCTTCTTCCATTTCAGATATTCTTCTTTCTAGAGCTCTTCGTTCCTAGATCAATTTAAGGTACCAATATTAATTATATAATTATTATATTCTTAAGTTTTCTTCTATACTGTCAAAGAGTGATAATTTAGAACCAAAGATCAAATCAGGAGCAGTGTGGAAAAGATGTGATGCCAGTGATGTGTAAAGAGCTTTCCAAAATTTGAGAGAAATAAATTTGAAGATCTTTACTTTTGTTACTTTTTATAAGCTCTTTCTTTAAAGCTTTGACTTTCTGGTAAGATGCTACATAACGTGTTCAAACAATTTTTTTAGTTCACGTAAAACTTAGAGATAGAATAAACCAATATTCAAGACTGAGGATTGTATAGGAAAAAAGAACTCACACAAAGATGCAATTATACTACAGTGATAGAAGCAGAAAAGAAGCAAACATGCCTAAAATATGTGTACTTTACAGTTTCAAAAGGATATAAGAGAAGCTCATTTCCTCCACCCACAATGTTTACTAGCCATTATTTATCCAACTGACTTTACAGCTTTGTATTTAGGTTGATTTCGTGTGCAGCATTAATGCGGTGAATCTAATGGAGAAGCAACTGCAGCATTTATTTTAAAATCCTTTCAAAGAGTGACAGGCAAAGCCAACACACAATACATTATTGCAGTGTACTGTTTTATTCTCCCTTAATGATTAGCATTCTAGGTGTTATGCAAAAAGCAAGCAGCAATAATTGATGAGCTGTAAAACTGGTTAGGTCATACCGCCCAGAAGATACTGACTCTTGCCGGTCACCTTTCAGATACAAACCATTTAAATTTAGTTTAATCACACTGAAACTATTTCCAAGACATTCTTTCCCAGATTAATAATAAATGTTCATATTTAGTAAATAAGTACATTTACTTGTAAATGTTAATGTTTTTAGGATATGTAATTATAAAAAATAGAATCTTTTTCATAGTCTCATAAGTACGTTATTCTAATATTGGCATGCTTAAACATTATTACATAGACAAAATGTTATTTTCTATATATGTAGGCCTTTCTCTTAGTTAATAATACAGCCATGATGAATTTATATAAACCACTGTACTTCTCAAAATACTAGCATATAAGTGTTATATTTGATCCTCACCACTTTGTGAAACATCAGAAATAGAATATTTCTTCTGACTGAGAAGTAATCTCCTCATGAGCCTCAATTTTATTAGATTTTAACTTAGTGATAAAACAAGACTAGAACACTATACCCAATTTCCTGATCCTACTGGGTCACTGTAACTGACAATTGTAAAATTGCAGGCAATTTCTTATGTTTGATAAACGTATGAACACTAAAAAACATAGTTGAGAAAAATGCACATCAAGTGCTTCGTTTAGTGCTTGCCTGATATATAGAGAATGCTGAATAAATGTTAGCAGTTATTATTAATACTATTAATACTATGATTATTGATGTCTATTAAATTGAGAGTGAATTAACTACTTTGTAATTTATCAGCATTTGATAAGCAGAAAAAGGAGGTGAGATGAGAATGTCAGAAAATGAACGTGTGTGTATTCTGTGTATATAAGCCTAGGGAAAAAAAATAGGTACCAAAATATCAGTTATTTCTGCATGATAGATTATCAATAATTTTAATTTTTCTTTTGTATGTTTTTGTATTAAACATACTTTCATAAGAAAAATTAAATATTTCTCGAAATTGTGACTGTCTCAAAAATAAAGACTATTTTGATTAAGTAGTTTGTTATCTATGTCTTTCATCTCAACCATGAATATGAAGAACAAAACTGATTTTATTATTTCTGAGTATCTTAGAGATAAAATTCAGTAAGTTATATGTTGTAACAGGATATAATAATCAACATTAAATCAAATAAAGTAATAAGTGACTCTGTATTTTTAGCATTAGTTGTATCAATTTTTAAAAAATGGCTCAGAACACTAATTTTTAAAACTTGCTGAAATCATAATAAAATGATAGCTATTGCAAGGTACAATTTAGTAAATGAAACAGGTATTAATAGAATGTATTTGTTTACTTTTAATATTCTGTTTTTTTATCATTTCTTTTTTTTTTTTGGTGAAAAAGGTAAATTGGTTATTTTAAAAATGGAATGGAAGAAAAATATTTTTATACCAACAGCTCCTGATTATTCACTCTTTGACCTAGAGACATAACTACCAGGATGTAATTTATTCTCTAGTTGAAACCCGCAAGTTTAGCCACTGTTCAGCTGCACTACAGACACTTTTGAGCACTTTAACTTTTGGATCATTTATACATTTTTTTAAATTGCTCGGACTAAACTTGTAGAGTTATTCCTACAGCCACTTCAGACCCTTGAGCAATAATGAGTACAAGTGAAATATCACAACCAATAAAAAACTGCAGAAAGACATAAAATGTTATAAGGATTTTCTTGTAATCAATTTTTTGTTTAAAATATCACACATCAGTTAAATACTTAAACTCCAAATTAAAATATTAAACTAACTTTAAAAAGAATTTGAAAATTTGATGCCTCTAGACTTAAAAATTTTATTTAAAGAACGTAATTATTTTAATTTTCCAAAAAATTAAAGTAAATGTATATATGATTTAAATGTTTTCGGTACAGAAAATCAAAGACACATAAGGGGCATTTCAAAAATATCAGATTCACTATCATAACGTGTATAGTACGTTTCAGAATCAAGACAAGATAGTTTTTTCAATTCATTAAAAGACTAATGTAGTATATTAAGTCTTAACAAGGCCATTTCAGACTTAGACCTCATAAAACTTTACAAAGAAGCTAAGCCATAAAACACTTTCATTAATTAAGTTAATAAATATTAATTTAAGCTAATTAAAACTACCATCCATAAAAACAAAATGAAAAAAAAAAATCTACCATTGCTTACATAAAACAATAAAGGGGGAAGATAATTACTTATCCACTAAGATGGAAACTTACCCTTTTTTCCATTTCCAACAGCGACCTATCGGCAAATCTTTCTTGTCTCTGCAACAAAGTAAGAAATTATAGAGATTATCAATTATCAATGATTTTAATTTTTCTTCCTTTGTATGTTTTTGTATTTATAACTGCAATACAAACGTTTTGTATTTGTAAATGTAATAAAGATGGGGGAGGGACCACAGTAACTCTTTTAATAGGTGTTAAAAGAAATGGTGATACTCAGGTGGAGTGTAACACAGGCGTGTGTAAAGAAAAGAGAAAACAGAATTTGTACTGAAATAAATAGCAAAAGGAATGTTTAGAAATAGAACGGTCTCCACAGGTCTATATCACTTTTCCCCAGGAATTTTCAGTTTATTTGGGGGTGAGGGTGAGTGAGTACTGTGGAACAAAAAAAAATCCTAGTTTTCCCTCTGACGCTCAACTGCTCTCCTCCTCTCCTGCACCAACAGAAGTGGCTAATCTGAATAGCCAGATTCCAGGACCTTGACTGAAATGTGTTTCTTACCAGGTTGAGTGATTTTGTATCCATGTGGCCAGACCAGTAAACTAGCCTTTTTGTCCTCTCCCTCAGTTATCTTAGTCTTGGCTCACTCTCTAGAGTTTTCTTTTCTAATCATCCATGCTCCAGAATTGGTAAGAAGGTTCATACTCACTTTTCCTTACAAGAAATTCTAGTTATACAGCTTTCTTCTCCTGGTGTGCTTGGGCTTCTCATTTTTCCCCCTTCATGTACTATGTGACCAGCTCAAAGCTGATAAAATCTTGAGTTACAAGTTTAGCTTTGAGGGGAGGGGGCATGGAAAGGTCCCTTGGATTTTAAGCCACATGTTGCACTCTGTATTAGAGAGCTCCGCATCTGGATACTGAGCACAAGCCCAGTTAAAAAAAGTAGTACCTTAGATCCTATTTACATTGACCTTTGTACAAACATCTTGGGATTCCCGGTCAATTTGCTGAAAATGAATTCATCAAATGGCTCATGCTTCAAAAGCCAATTTTACCAATTTACTAAAAATGGTTGTTGACAACTTTAACAAGAATGTTTTGTGGCTACTAACCACAAAATATAATTTAAAAACATAACTTCATTATTGATTAAGCACAATTTCATTGTTCAATTAGATAACTTTAAAAATAGTTTTTTTATATTTTGCCAACCCTTTCAGCATTTGTGTTTTAGTCTATTTAGGACTTGTAACCAAGTTTCTTTTTGATCCTTCTTTCACAATTTCTTCTTTATGGCTATGGCACATAAAATTTAAAGAACTAATCATGGCCAGATATCTTTACTTTTTTCTCTGTTATTTTAAATGGCTTTTATGCTTTTGTGCTTACTCTTTCTGGAAAAATAAAAGTTGATATATCCCAATTGCTTCTTGTGAGAAATTCAATTTAGAATTTCAAATATGAACAGGACTGTTCAGCTAATTCTGGATTCTTTTTGATGGTTTTGAGTTTGAATATTTATTTTAATTGCTAGAAACAGAAAACAAAGGCTGATATGCCACTTGAAGATCTACAAATGAATCATAAAAATTCTTAAAAGACTGAAAAATTTTTAAATGACATTCAAAAGCGCTTTAAAAAAAATCAGAAATAGCCAGAGCAATGCCATCACACACAAATTAACAAAACTTTAGATGGAAAAATAGCATTTTATTGGGGATTTTTTTTATATGGGAACATTTTAGCAATTTTATGATTTGTTTGTCAATTTCATAGGTTTAAAAAATCAACATCAGTTTAGATAATATTTTTATCTAGTTAATATTTTTGGTTAAACACCGGTTTTGGTTAAAGCTGTTAAAATCACAATTAGTAAATGTGGTGAACTGGTCATTTGGCAATGAGGTATTCAGCAAACTGATTTCTGGTAAATTGGCCTATTCCCTCCCTTGGAGACTATATAGGAAGAAGGGTGCCTGGGCTAAGGCAGGATTCAAGGACTCCAGGGTTTCTTGGCTAAATACTACCAAACAGATCTAAACTCCAAGATTAAACAGATGATAGTTCTCTTGGAAAAATTCCATGCAATTATCAAAACTGCCACTGCTCTGTATATTCACAAATAGTTATGAAAGCAATCAATGCTTAAAAAAAAAATCAGGTGGAAAAATTCACAGTAGACTTAAATACTCAGGATAAATACCCTAAAGTTGAACAAAAAAAGTTTATTTTAATGTGTATCAGTTTTACTTTTATGAATCATCCTTCTCATATTAACTCAGTATACTGTGTGTGATACTCAAAGAGTGCCTGGCAAAGCAGAAGCTGTCTTACTTTTTAATCTAGTGACTTGTTTCTCTTGCCACAGGAGAAGGATCAGAATTGGTACCGGACCCACAGGCAGCTTTATGTGGGTTGTCCAGTGACCTATGAAATGGTCACTAACACGACCATGAACATTAACAGGCTGCTCCATACTGGATAGTAACTGGCTAACTCTATCAATTCCCACCTCTTGCAGACTTTGACTGAGAGATGTACAGTAAGAACTGGTTGACAATAAGGTAGGCAGAAAAGCAGAGAAACAATAAAAAAGGCAGTAAGTAGTAGAGACACAGATTAGCTGAGTCACCATAACAACAGAACTCTATAGTAGGGAGCAGTGGCGGACATCTTTACTTAGAAAACATTACAATCAAATCCCTAGAGCTGAAGCTACATTCAGTGAACTCATGATATTTTTATGTATGGAGGCTTATACTAAAGCTCATACTAAGCTACTAATGCAACCTGAAGGATGATAACGTACCAGTTTACCGTGAAGCCTATTGAATAAAATCCTTCTATTATTTTTAATTTACTCCAGAAAAAAGTAAATAATCAGTGAACTGCATTATCTTGATTCCTTTTTACTAATAAGCATTATTCATACCAAACTTCTGTTTAGAGAAAATTCAAGAAAATTTCAATGCCATTTTTTTAGATACAGTAAATCACAACCACTACCTTGAGAGTAACAAAGAGAAAAAGGTACAAACCTGGGTGGCCTTTTCCAATTGCAATTTAAGATCTGTTAGTTCCATATTTGTATCATGTAGCTGTGCCTTCAACTTTTCATTTTCAGCTAGAATTTGTTCATAAAGCTATAAAAATCAGGGTAGAAATACAAATTACTTTTCTGCTCTCCTAAAATTTTAAGATTTCTCATTGATTACTTTGCAATATTAAAGCAAAAATTAATGAAGCACATGAGCTATAAAGGGTACATTAAACATGTATTTTAATGCTTTATGATTGTAAGGTAGAGACTGTTGGTTATGCAGGTATGTTTGTCCCATATAAACTTTAAAAATTAGTTCCAGCATTTAAAATATAAGACTTTTCAGAAAAACCAGACTTTTCAGATTCTCTTAAAAAAAAGATTCAGTTATCCGATAAAGTGTACCATATCTGTACAGCAACAGTGGGAGCTGAGGAGTCACTGTGATCTTTGTTTGGAATCTGTGAGCTTTTCTGTCCATTGTTTCCTCTTGAATTCCCAAAAATGAGATGGAGTATCAGTTACATTTATCATTATACTTCTATTGTGTATAGTAAAATTAAAAGACGAGTGACATATTTCTTGAAATATTTCAAATCCAGGATAAAATCCGAGACCTTCCCCTTTTCTGATAATTTTTCCTCTTTCTTAACACTTCATTGCACAACTTCCACTATAATTCTGGCTGCAATCATCTCTTATCTAGACTATTTTAACACCATAATTGTTTCCCCTGATCTCCTTCTAATCTGTTTTATAAATAGGAACAAAAATTAATTTTTCAAATTGAAAATCTCGTAATTTCCATATGGCAACCATTCTATCCTTCCTGCTAATTAAAAACCCTTGAGTGGCTTCCCAATGTTCTTAGCATATGGGAATCCTTAAAACGGCCTGTAAGACAGGGCAGGTAGTCCCTGACTACACAACTAGCTGCTGCCTCACAAAACCATCCCCTCCACTCTACTAGCCATAATGAAAATTTAATTACTCCAATGCCTCATGTACCCATCCACCAACAGCTCTATGTGCTTGCAGTTTACTTTACCTGGACCACTTTTCTTTCCCATTTTTGCCAATTAACTCTTAATCATCCTTCTGTTCTTGGCTGAAGGCTCATTTCCTTTGGAAATCAATCCATAGGTTTGTTCCATTTTTATTTTGTTATATACTTTTATAAAATTGTTTCTCTACTTCAGGGTAATTGTCTCAATTTTTTTTATTATATATTCATTAGTACGATTATATGATAATGTGCTTCTCCTACTACATGGGAGATGCCCATGAGAGCAGGATAATACTTCCATCTCCACGTGCCCATGAGTAGAATCTCACTACTTAGCACAGTTCGGCATTCATTTCTTTACTAAATAAATGATGGATTTTATTCATAATGTAAAATGACTCCTTCCCCCCAACCACCCACTTCCTTCTCTTGCTGACTTGCCTTGTAAGAAAGTATATAATTCAAACAGCTGCTAGATACCTTGAAACATGTCCAAATACCACAAGCTTTCTCCTTCTCTAACAAATTACATCATGTTTATTCCAAGTTCAGAATATGAAGAACCATGATAGTCAGAATCCTAGTTTGTTGAGTTTCTGGGATTTATTTCTTAATTACTTCCATACTTAATCCTTAATAGCACTTGAACTAACCCAATTTTTTCAGTTACCTAGGAAAAACTATATTCTCTGTTTTGCTGCTTCTTAGTAACAAACAGATAAAAAATAAAGTGTGTGTGCATGAGCACACACATACACTGCATTTACTAAATGCCCCTTTCTAGCTTAATCACAGTAATGACTTGAGATACTTAAATTCGAAATAAAGTCCTGGCTAATTTTCTCTTCCCTAAAAAAACAAACAGCCATTTTTATTCTACTTACCATTACTTGTCAAAACCCAAAATGATTCAGTTTTTTTTAAATAACATTCAAATATAAATATCTCAATACAAAAGTTAACTAATTTGTTTTTTGAATAAATATAACTAAATAACCCAAGTACCTTTTTAAAGTCAGTTGAGTCATCCTTTTCTAGCCTGCTACCATAAGGTTTTCTTTCTTCTAAGTAACTGTACGATCCAGAGCGACCCAGCAAGGAATCATACCGATCACTAGCTGATGTGGAAGTGGTTTCATATCTTCAAAAGATGAATTTTAATCAAAATCTTTATTATTAGGCTTTCACAACTTACATTAACATACATCCTAGTATATATTAACTTGATAGTCTCCCTCATCTGTTACCTAATAAATATTTGTGACACATAGTAAATGGAAACTTATTGTTAATTCTATTAACTTCCATTGATGAGGAAGTGATTCAAAATTTCCTTGTCTAAAAGTCAAACTTATTTCCATCACGATAAATTATTACAACAATTTTAAATTGCACTTTTTTTCACATTTTAACATCTCTGAAATCTGAATATAGCTTCCACCAACTGATGGTGTATTATAGTTTAATTGGTAGCATCTTTCCCTTTTTTAGTGGTAAATAATATAATGGTGTTTAACAATTAGTAACAGATTTGATGAAATACAGTATATCCAAAGTGATAATGGGTTTGTACTAAACAGGAAAATGTATCTTATTTGTAAATTAGAATTCTCTTATATCTGGTTCTGGATTCAGGTTACCTTTTCTGATAGATGCCATTGCCTCTGCATTTCAATTCAATAGAACCATCAGTATATAAAAATTTACTGTTGGTCTTACATGGCTTTGGTTAACAATTATATGGGCAAGAGAGAGAGAATGGAGATTACAATCAAGGACATAGTGGAGGTTCTCTGAAAAGATGAACAATTTTGAGCTAGATGACATTTTCTAAAGTATCTTCATTGGTTCATTCTTACCTAAAAAACACAGCTAAGGGGGAAGAATCTGAATACCTAAACAAATAAAATTCTGGCTCAGGGTGGGTTTCATCAGTCCCTCATGTTAGCAACGAGATAGCTAATGTTGAAGTAACTTAGTAAACATTGGAAAACTTAAAAAAAGTTACCACTGTTGTAGAGATTTGGGAACAATTTTCTTAGAGACTTATTGTGACTAGCGAAGTAGAAGTAAAGCCTTTAACAAAGAAAGTGAATAACAATGATTAGGTAATCTAAATTTCTATAGATTTTTTATTAGCCATATAGTTCTGTAAGTTTACAAAATGTATAAATATCTAGAAACATATTTTTAGCAAAGATAAAAATGAGAAAAAAAAATCAGTAAAAAAAAAAAAAAGTAAAACATACCTAGAAATGGAATCCGTCTAGAAAGAAATGAAGAGAAAAACAGGCATACTAAATTTTTATGCTTTCATTAAACTATTAACCTGTGATTGATCAAGTAAATTTAATATAACATCAATAGAGTTTTCACACTATTAAATTAACTTAACCATTCACTATATATGCTTTAACTTTAATGTGGTTGTTTTTAGAAGGAGGTTCTAAAAGTCACTGTACATTTTTACATGCACAATATCATATAACTATATGTGGCAATTCATGGACATCTTTTGTGACTTCCTAGAAAAACCACTATATTATTTCTTACTGAAAAGAAAAAAAATTGAGAAACAAACATATCCCATACTTATACTCACTCAGGAGAAAGTAACACATTTACATTAAGAAATGTCAAGTTCATTATATGACATCTTAAAGTAACCATTTCACTCATTTTTCTGTTTTTGATGAATATGAGAGGCAAACAAATGAATATACAAGGTATTTTATGCATAACAGTATAAACATGTTTTGTTTAAAATTCATTTTCTGGAAATCTAGCTATATATCCCTTTAAGGTATAGAAATTAGGGCATAGGAAATTTAAGTCAATTTTCTCAAGCAAGCGGTATGCTACACTGAAGTTCCAATAACTCTTCCTATCTAATGGCAAAATGATTAATAGGGTAAATAGTTTTATTCGGGACCAAAGTAGTTTTTTTTTTTTTTTTGGTGGTCAATTTTAGCTTTTTCTCTTTCTGTTGAAATGCTCACTGAATCTCTTAATTTTCTGTAAGGTAACTAATCAAAAATGGTTTGTTAAATTTCTAAATTTAAATATTTGTAATTTTGCATAATATTTACCTTTGAATGCACTGTAAAATTACAGGGTTCCTTTACAACTGTTTAAAGTCTACTCTGGACTAAAAATGTTTTACTAAAGTCTGTGTAAATTTCTTTTGCAATACCAATTTTGCCTTTGTTCTCTGTATTGTTTTTATTTCCTGTAATGTAGTATTTTATTGATATATTCTTGGGTTTTATAATTCACTATTTTAAAGAACAAATTTCTATTTTCAAGATATTATTCAAATTCAGCAAAACATTCATAAACCAAAATGTATACATATCAAATGAAAATATCACATCTCACCTTACGGTTTGTACTTTTTCACTGATTTAGATTTTTTAAATAATAAAAACTCCAAGCAGTCACAGAAATCAAATTCTGTTTATTTTTAAAAATCATGGTCTTATCATCATTATTTAAAAAAATTTAAAAACTGTGGTAAAAACCACATAATATAAAATTTACTATCTAGACCTTTTTAAGTGTACAGAGGTCAGTATAGTTAACTATATTCACATTGTTGTGCAACAGGTCCCTAGAACTTTTTCAGCTTGCAAAATCGAAACTCTATACACACTGAACAACTTCCTCCCCTCTCCATTCTCAGCCCTGGCAACCACAAGTTTACTTTCAGTTTCTATCAATTTGACTCCTTTAAATATCTGAAGAAGTGGAATCCTATAGTACTTGCCATTTTGTGACTGCCTTATTTTACTTAGCATGATGTCCTTGCTTCTTGCATTTTAAAATTGTTTTTTCAAAGTAAAAATATCCTTTTAATTTTTCTCATTACAGTACTATAAGCTCATGTAATCATATCCAAAGTTCCTCTATAAATCTCCATCCCTCCACTCCCTAGATAAGTATCTTATTTGGTCACATAATATCTACATGAATGCACAAAATACCAATCTATACACATGTAGATTATTTAATCTATTCTCTACCAATAGAAATTTAGGGTGTTTTCAATTTTTTGCTTTGCAAGCAATGTGGCTATGATTTATCTTTACATCCTTCACCTATATCTTTGGAAATAAATTTATACAACTGGAAGTGCTAAGCTAAAAGGCATAGATGTTTTCATAAGGCTTCTGATTTGGATTGTTAAATTGATCTCCAAAAAGGATGAACTTATTATAGTCTCAAAACTTTGTAAGAAAATGCCTATTTCAATGCTTATCATGCAAAATATGAACATTATTTTCTTTTGCCAATTTCACTTTATTGTTATGTTTTTGGTTATTGAGTTTGAATGCATTTTCAAGCTTATTGGCTACTTGTATTTCTTCTTTTGTGAAGTTTATAGATTTCATGTATTCTGCCCCCCATTTTTTTAACTGAGACTCAAATATTAATCTTTTATATGTTATAAAAGAGGGTTAAGATTATTTATTTTTAAACTACATAAATATGTGTCTCCTAACTTTAATTAGGGTGTCTTTACTATCACATTCCAGCTTTATATGTTTAAATAATTGAATCTGTTAATCTTTGTTTATAGCTTCTTGCCTTGGTGTTATACTTACTTTAAATTTTGGATTTATTACTAATGTTCTTTGTATGCTAAATGAAATAGATTAATAAAATCCATCCAGAAGTTTAATAAAACCAAATCAAGGCCAGGCGCGGTGGCTCACGCCTGTAATCTTAGCACTTTGAGAGGCTGAGGCAGGAGGGTTGCTTCAGCTCAGGAGTCTGAGACCAATCTGAGCAAGAGCAAGACCCTGTCTGTACTAAAAATAGAAAAAAAATTAGCCGGGCATGGTGGCATGTGCCTGTAGTCCCAGCTACTTGGGAGGCTGAGGCAGGAGTGTCACTTCAGCCCAGGAGCTTGAGGTTGCCGGGAGCTAGGCTGGCGCCAGGGCACTCCAGCCCTGGAAACAAAGAGAGACTCTGTCTCAAAAAAAAAAGCAAATCAAAATAACCAGAACAACAGAAGCCTTATTTTTAGAAATAATGAACAATAACATTATAAAGTAATTCAAATTATATGATAAAATTTTATCTTAATTTTCTTTTAATTTATATCCTGAGCTTCATAGGCAAATCAGAATTTTCAAGAAACTTTCAGCGTCTTACAATTTACTTTTCTTTTAAACAGAAAAGCACATAAAAGAAGGTAATTTTTCAATGGGTTTAACTTGGATTCTATAAAGTATAGAAGTTTTGTTATATAACCCATTTACATTATTTCAGAAAACACACATAAGAATTTTGCCATTCACACTTTTTACAGAAAGTATGGGCTGCTAGTTTTCAAAATAGAGTAGTACACTTTTTGGTCACTTTTGTGGTCTACTGTATAAGACATTGTGGGTTAGCATCCTACCTCCATTCTTTCTCTTTCTCATGGTACAGCCCTCACTAGGTTTAGGTGAAATTGTATGTAGCCCAGGTTGGTAGCAAAATGACTGCAATAGCCCAGTGGTGGGCTCTGTCTGGCCTAAGCCAACTACAATCCCATTCCCATGAGGTAATTCAGCCTGAGGATGAGGCTGACATAGAGGATTGTGTAATATAACCAGAGTACAATTAATTTTCTTTGTTTAATCCAGTTTGAGTTCAGTTTTCTGTTACTTATAACTGAAAGAATGCTAGCACAAAGCAAGATCTATACAATGTTCTATTTAAAAATGAACAAAAATTATTCAAATTGTTTGGAATGAAGAAAACTTTTCTTCTTAGAAACAATGTTCTACTTAACCTTAATGTTATCTCTTGCATAATTTTAACAGTAAAACTTAAATATAACAGATATCAATATGTTTCAAAATGACAACTGTGGAAGCTAGAAAATCTCCCTCCCACTCCAGTTTGGTGGGAGGTGGGGTCTGTGCTATAAGGCCATGAGAAGTGTAGGCTGGGGATAGTTTACTAATTTCTTCCCTCTTGTTTACCTATCCATTGTCTTTCCTTGAACAATGAGAATTCATAGGGTCCTACTGGAAAAGGAAGATAATGGATGAGTTGATAGAACAAAGGGAAATAGGTAAATTGGGAAAGTGCTGACAACTGACAGGTAGTGTTTAAGTGACAAAGCTTCCTCCCTGCAAATAATTCACCCTCAGAACTAATTCACACCTCAATCTGGCCATCTAAAGATAAAATAAAAGTAACTTTCGGGTCAAAATAGGCAACCTTGGCCTTAAAAGTAACGCTCACAGTCACCTAGCACAGGTAACCACCTTTTGGTTGCCTCACATTACTGTAAGTCACCTTGCTGACTAAAAGGAAATGTGATAGCTTTATGAAAAAGCCCCAAGTCAAAATGAAGAAGGTAAAATTAACATGCTATTTCAGGATAGATAATGTCGAGTTTAGAACTAACTCATGTACAACTCTATCTTTACGTGATTAGAGCTCTTTAAAGTATTTCAGCTTTCTGCACAGCCAAACAACAGGAAATAGAGGGGGGTTTAAAAAAAAAAAAAAAAGGTAAGAGGGAGGAAACTTTTACCCCTTGCTAGTTATGCAGCCTGAGGTCCTTCATCAGTACTGAGGGGGGAAAATGCCTTTTTCAGAAGATTTTTGGGAAGATTAGCTGTGATTATGAATATAAAAGTCCTTTAGAAAGTCTAAATTTTTTAAACATATGTAAAGAAAGCTAAAGAGGTGTATCTTCTGCAGAATGTAACTTTGTCATATACAGAAATAAAAATCTGAGCCTACTACTTCTGGTTTTCCACTACTTCGGAGTACTCTTTAGATATTTCCTTTGGTCCAGAATACTATTCCCTTTTTTGCTTTTTCTCTTCAACTCTGAAGGTTACATTACACACATAAATTACATCCACTCAGAGTATGCAATGAGTTTTGACAGTTGCGTATATCCATAAAACCACCACTACAATCAAGATCCAGAACACTTCCATCACCTCTAAAATATTCTTTGTGCCCCTTCCCAGTCCTTCCAATCCTGATCCCCAGCTACCACTGCTATTGTATCCCCAGGATATAGGTACAGTATGCAATAACTGTTTTGTATGAATAAATATAATTAAATACAATTTAAAAATAATCCTTAAAAATTATGATTATTTCACAACACAAAAAGTAATGCTATTTACCTGAGTTTCTTTCTTATTAGATCCCTCTTCTGTATCTGACTGTTGTTCTTGTTCATTTTCATCACTCTAAAAACAGATTGCCAATTTATTTTAGGAAAGGAAAGAGATTTCAAATAGTTGACATTTAAGAACATTAGGGCTTTTCCAATTTAAAATGACTCTTCAGAAAAATATACCATGAAATGGATCAAAAGAAAAACCAATTTCTAAGTGGGAGTCTTTCTACGCTATTTAGAGAATACCCATTTTGTTGGCATGGCTCAATCTAAGTAGGTTAGTGTATGTTGTAAGGAAAGACCACCTATCTAACATGTAGAAAACACATTTGTATTGGGGATGAGGAAGCTGGAGGCTTAACATAAGAAAGAAGATATTTCACTTTATATTATAATGATACTGCACATACTTTACTAGTCAGTAAAATACTTTTTAGCCCCTCAATTATAATGAGGCAGGAAAAATATTAATAAATTCATTATTTTAAGTAAGAAAAGCTAGATTCACTAACTTTGGCAAGATTTCTGCAACAGTCCTACTATGTTTAGGTGGTTTTTGCATCTAGAAATTTCTTGGGAGGTTAGAGTACACCAAATAGAAAATCAAGGTCTCAGCAGGCTAAAAGTTTAGAATCCCAAACTATGACAATATGTTACTAAAAGGCTTTGAGAATCTTAAAAAAAGCCTCAATAGATTAAAGGGAAAGAAAAGGGAAATTTGCATTCAAACTTATCTGGCTAAGGTGTACTATAAAAATACCACAGACTTTAAACTAGATAAACCTAGTTTCATATTAGTATGGTTATTGTCAGCTGTGTGACTTAAGGCAAATTATTTAAAATTTTTGGAGTCAAAATTACCTTATCTATAAAAGTTTACAGAATTGTTCTAAGGATTAGAGATAATTTTTGCATAAGGTACCATTTTGGTAGCTAACAAAAATTATACATGAAGTTAATAAGTAAACAGGAGAAATCAATGCTGCTGCTGTTAGTATTATTGATCATTAATTCCATGTCATGAACTGATTGTTTTTATGCATTGCAGTACCATGCACTACCCTTTCTTTCACTGAGCCTTTGGTTCTTTTCGTATATTGTTTGCTACAGGTTCGAACATTTGACTATGAAGGAACGGGGAAACCCGTGCTTTGATGGCTGATTAGAAATCAATTCAATGCTGGCTCAAATTAAAAACATGGGCATTGTCAGTATGTATCTCAGGAAGGATCTTTATAATAATGGTCAAGTGCATGACTCCAGAAAGTGGTCTTTTAAAGGAAGAACTGGTCTAAATAAGATTCAGGAAAAATGAATACTAAATAGTAATATTGCTTTGCCTATGCAATTCTTAAAACATATCAGTTATTAAAAAGATGAGATGATTTTAAATAATAACAGTAAATGTTAGGATGCTAAGACTGTCAGGTTTTATTTTACTATTAAAATGTTACTGCAAAATTAAAATCAACCAGACATTATGTACTTCCTGATGGAGAAACAAAATATCCTGCCGAAAGAATACTGAGGCCAGGCACAGTGGCTCATGCCTGTAATCCTAGCATTTTGGGAGACTGAGGCAGGAAGACTGCCTGAGCCCAGGAGTTTGTGACCAGCCGGAGCAACATAGGAAGACCCCATCTCCACAAAAAAATAGAAAAATTAGGTGGGCGTGGTTACACATGCCTGTAGTCCGAGCTACTTGGGCTGAGGCTGGCAGATCGCTTGAGCCCAGGAGTTTGAGGTTGCAATGAGCTATGATGATGCCACTGCACTTTAGCCCAGGTAACAGAGCAAGACTCTGTCTCAAAACAAAACAAAACAAACCCCCCCCAAAAAACAGCTCTGCAGAACCAGAATCTAATCAACCCTCTAGGTCTAACTACTGATTTGTAGAAATATAAAAAACAAAGGAATGTGTTAAATTATACTTCAGGGATGTGATAACTCAATTCCTCCAAAAAATAATTTTAAGGGAAAAAAAGAGAGAGGGAGAACCTTACTGATTTTAAAGGAGGCTTTAAAGAAATAACTAATCATAATGTATGTTCCCAAATAAACTAGTAAACTATAAAGCTGCAACCACAAACCACTTTTGGCATGTATCAGTCAACTGGAAATTAAACCTGACTAGATAATTGACAGTAAAGATTTATTGTTAATTTATTTAACACTGTATTTTTATATATAGCTTTTAAAAAATTTTAATTTTTATTTATTTTTTTACACAGGACACAAACAATTCTTGCTTCAGATATACATAGTTTTAATAATTTTTAAGAGGGAGTCCTTATCTCTTAGGATACACACTAAAACATTTGTTGATAAAATGTTATATCTAGGATCTTCTAAATAACATGGGAGCTGGGGAAGTTGTGGGGATTTAGCTGAAACCAGGGATACTTGGGGTGGGGTCGTTATACTAATTCTGTTAATTCTGTACAGTATATGTTCAAACTTTTCCATATTAAACATTAAAACAAAAATAGGAATCTATTTTTCTATTTTCCCCATCTGTTCTTCCTTTATTTCTCCTTTCTTGTCATTTATGTATTATTTTATTTTCCTTCTCCTTTGAACTATTTTTTTATAGCCACATTGCACCCTTGATTCAAAGTCTAACATACATGAGTACTTTGTCCAAATCATGGACAATGTGAGGATATTAAAACTATAATTTCATTTAATACTTTCCCATATTTTGTGCTATTGTTTTCATATATTTTGGCTTTTTACATATTTTAAACTGCATATGACACAATGTTATTTGTGGTACATGTAATTAAATAGAATGAAAATAAAATAAAACACTGCAATTAAAAGATAAAAGTGTTCAGAAAAAAGGTGACCTAAATATACTGTTTATGAGAAAAACACAGATAAGTTGAAAATAAAAGTAAAGATATATTATATGAAGATTAATAATTAAAAAAAGCATTCCAAAAAAGCAGACTTTAAGGTAAAACATTATTAGAGATAAAAAGGAACATACATTGAGATAAAGGGTCAGATTAACAGGAAGACAGATGATCCCATGTTCTCTCAACAGAAGAATGGATACAATTAGAGATTAAAAGAAATATTTTTACAGTAATCAAACTAAGTAGACTGCTATATACAACACAGCTATATCCCATAAATATAATATTGAGTTATGAAATCTACAGTTCTATTTATATGCTCTTCAGAAACAGGAATAGTTAACTATGGTGTTAGAAATCAGATACTAGTTGGCTTTGAGAATGAGAATGATAGGGATTAAGAGGGAGAATCTGGGGGCATCTACAGTGCTGTTTTTTTGTTTTTCATTCTGACTGGTGATTCCACAGATATGTTCCCATTGTGCTAATTCATTAAACTGTACATTTATGAATTATGTTTCTGCATATCATACTTCAATAAAAGGTTTATTTCAAAAGTTGGAAAAAAAAACCAAGAGGATCAAAAAAAAAGGGCCAAATTATATTTGTTCTTCTATAGTTACATGTTGTATTGAAACAGTATAAATTTCACATTAATAGTCATATCCTACAGTTCTTTTTTCTCCTATATGAATAGCAATGTCAGGTATATAATCAGGGATCAGGGCAAAAATCTCATTTCTTGTAGGATAATTGTAATTTGATAAGTAAAGGACTGCTTCTATCCAGCATCCTTTGAGATAGAAATAATTCTGTTATGTAGATCTTATAATAATATCTGTAAACATGAAATTAAATGTTAAACATCTTTTAGGAATCTCTAAAATAAAGGAGTTTAGTAAATGAGCAGTTTAGCTATTATAAAATAATCAATATATGTACTCTGAGCTGTAGTATTATTTTATTCCAAAATTAGGTCAGAACTTCTGCTTTTCAGTAGTACCAAAAATCTAAGTAGTTACCATCCTTACAAAGAACTTTTCTTATTTAACAACTCAACTCAGAAAACATAGTGATGATTTAAATAATATATAATCTGAGGCATATAAGAAATTATTAGTATGTACTTTTGGGAACGTTACTATGAAGTAATTATATTGTAATAGGTTCTCACATCTTGTGTCCAAAATGAAACTCCTGTAGATCTTCTTTTCTCTCTCGGTCGCCGTCGTTCTCTGATTGATTTAGGTTGTGATTTATCTTCTCCTTCTTTTTCCTCTTCTCTTTTTTCTCCCTCTGTTAAGGATTACAATGAAACACATGATAGCAATGTATCTTAACAATATTTTGCAAGGTAACTGCATAAACAATTCTAATTCAAATTACTTTGTGAAACCTTCTAAATTTCTCTAATCAGAATTAATTTTTCCCCCTTTTCAGTGTTCCTATACACCTGGTTTAAACATGTATTTCTATTTCCCATTAGATACCTTCTTGAAGGTCACAAGAACTAATTATCTTCAGTCCTAGTGTCTAAAATAAAAATTCTGCTCAAAAGACACAAATATTTGATGAATTAAAAATAATGAAATCCTATGAGAGGAATAGGGCTCCAGTTATTAATTTCTGATAAGGAAATAGTTATTATAACCAAAGCTAACATTCTACAGAAGAAAACAGTTCTTAATGATGGAAGAGCCAGTAGGAATCATACAAATTTATCAGTTTCTGCTTCTACTATTGCCAGTCTTCACTTGGCAGTGATACAGTATTTATTTCATTTCTATTAGATTGTATTTAAGAGCAAATCCTTTTCTTCTGGAAAATATATTTACCTTTTATTAAAAACAAATCGATATAAAAATGTTAGTTTTAAGATTTGCTTTCTTCCTGAGACAGTTAAAATGGCTTCAGGCTTACATACTAGAAGAATATTAGGGACTCTGAATATGCTAAAAATAAAGACACACATTGAACAAAAATGATTTAAAAAAAAAATATTGTGTCCTTAGCAAAGATTCACAGCAAAAGATACCCCAAAATTATAGTATTAAGAAAGATTTTTAAAGTTGTTTTTAGAATCAGTTTAGAGCAACAATCTCAAACTCCAACGCCTGTAGTAGCCATCCAGGTAATATAAATGGGTAAATAGGCCCGGACAGGGGTATGGGGGCTACTACTACTTAACTCTAGCCAATTGTTGATACGTAAGAATTCAGACCCAGTGTTGCTAAATCTTTCAAATTTTCTAGAAAAGCCAAAACTCCAAAGTTTTATGTGAATATCTCTCATTTTAAATGTTGGTTCAAAATTTTTACAAACACTATGAAGGCCTCACACTTAGTGGTTTAAAGAACTAAAACATCTCAATGACCAACATTAAGAAAATCTAGCTGGAAATTGGGGAAAAGTTAATTTTCTGATGTTTATCCAATATGATTACCGATATTACCATGACTAATACTGTGAGATTTAACTTTTAAAATATAAAACGCCTATAATTAGAAATAATTTTATTTAGTACTCATATCTGATTTAAAGTAGGAATTAATTGGAATTTAAATAGAAAGTTTTTTATCAAATAATAGGAATTGGTAATAGTGAGCATCAATGTGCCAATATGCAGCTGGGAAAAAAAA